ATCTCTGAGCTCATGTGGCTTGGTTGGAGTTCAAGCCTTTGAGCTCACTGGCTGGGGGGGTGGGTTTCTCTTCAGGGGTTGTGCTTACGGCTCGAGGCTGCGAGGTGGAGTTTCTCCGATTTGATTCCACAGTTTTATATAGTTCATGGCAGCCTCACTATCACTTAGGTAATTTTCTCCTCCCCACTTTCCTGCCAGAGCTTCAAAACAAACAAAAGCACAACCCTCTCCCCAGCAAAGGAGCCCAAAGCCTGGCCGGGCTTAACTCCTTCCTGAGAGCTGCTGGCTTCCCTGCTCAAGCAGAGGCAGGGATACAGCAGGGATACAGCAGGGATACAGCAGGCTCCAGCTGGAAGGAGGGATTGCAGAGGAGCCTCCTGCCAAACTTCCCTCAAAGCAAAGCAAACACGAGCTGACGAGAGCAGGGAGGTGCAGAGCCTGGGGTCCCAGGGTTGTGCTGTGCCCGGTGCTCTGGAAAGGGGCAAACTCTGAAAACTGGCTTCAGGACTGGAAATTTTCTCAGCAAATTAAGCAAGGAACTCAAGGATGTGAGATCATCACTGACCTGAAGAGAAGTAACTCCATTAGCTTCACTAAATTGACTTTGGTCAAACAGAGAGGACGAATGAAATGGTTTAGAGAAGGGCTGAGGGAGAGAAAAACCCCCGGGCAAAAACTTCTGCACAAACCTGGAGCAGAAGAGGGACTCGGGACTAATAAATAACTTCCTGGAGCTCATTTCCATTCATAACACATTATGGAAATGTTAAAAACAGTATAGAAATACTGACTCCAGTTTTATTACCAGGCTGAACTTTGCCAGGTGGAAAAGGTTGGCCCTGGCTCTCTGCTTCTGCAGTGGCTGCACAGGGACCAGCTCCAGGCCAGCAGGACAAGGGATGCTCTGCAGAGGGCAGCAAGTGGGGCTGAGTCACTGCATCCCATCCTGGCAGTGATGAGAAAAAGATAAAGATAAAGAAACATGAGTATCTCCAAAAGGGCTGATTTAAATACCAAAAAATTTAATTTTTATATATTTATTAATTTAACTGGGGACACCAATGACAAATATCTCAGTAATAACTTGGACTTTGAGAATAAAAAAACAGACACATGACTACTTGGGAAACTAATCTCTAGTTAAATCTGAATTGTTTTCCTTTACAGCTAAATGATGTGGTCACTAAAGGAGTCATTGCTCACAGGAAATAAAAAATGAGGTGGCCAGGAAAATAGCTGTGGAAGGAAGGACACTGAAGCACTTGCTCAGTGTGTGATCATTCTGTGGATGCCCCGTTACACTTCTACAGTCATATGGCTACACTCAGCAAAAGGATTAAAAGACAGAAAAAAAGGGTAGGATTGTGTACAAAGACATCTCCAAATAGCATTTCCAGTCTGCTCATTTATTGCTATGACAAAATTCCAGTATCTTTTGTTTTTAGCATAGGATGGGGGTTAGCTGAGATGACATTTAAAGGTCCCTTCCAACCCAAACCATTCTGGGATTCTGTGACAGGAAAATGTCTCTTGGAAGGAAACATCTGTAGCTGAGAAATGTGCTCCAACATCTATATAAAGATTTCTCTTCTGTTCAGTAACCTGTTACTGAATCACTGAGCTGTCCTGAGCTATTAAATACCAAAATATCCCAGCAAAAGATGATAAAGCACAAAACCTGAGTGTGGACACAGCCTATCTGTCTCCAACAGCTCCCACCAAGCATTTTCTCTTCTTCCTCTCTCAAACACACGCTGGGAACTGCATGATCACTACATGACACAGGTTTGCAAGTGCATCTGTTGAGAAAATTCACAAGATGAAATGAGAAAAGTAGAGTGAGACAAAGGTCCTATTTAAATAACAGATTTTTTTTATTTTTTTTTTCCCTATTAAAGTGAGAATTTGGGTTGAATAGAACAACTGAAAATAAAAAGTTGGCATTTCAAAATATCAGCCCCTAGGAAGACAGGAGGCCACCTGGTGAGGACCAACAGCCCATCACACCAACCAGCATCAAGAGAAGCTGCTGAGCTGCCTCTGACCACTCCAGTAGAGTGAGGCCAAAAATCTGATCATTGCTTAGAAATACTATTTCAGTACTAAAAACAAGTGAACTGTGGGAAAAGAATAAAACCAAACGAGCTTGTGCTGAGCCCCTTGTGTGCACCAGAGTTGGAGGGGGTGGCTCTGGACCACAAGCCCCATGGTGGGTCTGTGCTGTGGGACTGCTGGTCCCCCTGCATCCCCAGCCCCCTCCTGCCTACTCGGGGGGCTTTGCCCCCATCCTGGGGGTCTCTGACCCCACCCTGCCCACCCCAGGGGCTCTCCCCTCTGCCCTGCCAGGTTTCCTGCCATTCTCCTCTGGAGCTGCTCCCAGCTCCTGGATGAAAGAAACGAAGAGAATCATCCGGGCTTGGCTACCGGATTTATTTCACCTTTCAACACCAGAGTAAAAATAGAGAGCTGGGCTAAAAATAGCTGCTGACCGGGTCTGCCTGACACTGAGCATGGGAAGCTGGAGGGCTTGGCTTCCAGTGGAAGCTGCATTTAAATGACATTCCCTGTGCCAGAAATGTGGGGTTTCATTAATCCTGATGCCAGCTGTGGGCACTGAGTATGTCACACCGTGCCTTAGAACTCCTTTTAGGAAAGTGACTCAGCTAAGCACAGCACAACGGGTAAATCAAACATACCCTCAAGTGAAGAATCCCCCAAAAATCCCAAATCACTTACTTATTAAGATAATTCTTTAAATGAAAGCACACTCAAGTTCCCAAATTTCAAGCAGCATGGCGATGAAGGCTTGTTCATATAGGCTGGGAATATGTCCAAGTATTTAAGGGTGATTTAATTTAATTGTGAATAGTGCAATAGACATATGGCTAGGCAGTTATATGCCAGGAAACATGTTTTCTATAAGTATTTTAGCAGGCAGATGGCATACAATAGTTTTGGTGTAGTCATTTCCTCACCTCTTAAAAGTTGCTATTTTGGACAGATGAAATAATTAGATTCCCACCATCCTCCCAAGACACCAGCACCGTGACCCGGAGGATGTGCAGGGTTGGAGGACTGTTTCTGTACAAAATCCCATCAAATCTAACAAACCTTAGACTCACCTGCCCCTTTGCCACTCAAGAGTTTCAAGGCATTTGAATAACTTCCCCACTGACACCAAAAGCCAGTGGGTACGGATGCTCTGCAGCCCTCCCACCCCATGGGCAAGTGCAGAGGGACGTGGCAGCACTTGGAGCAACATCACACCACAGCTAAAGCCTCAGAACACGAAAGTTTTGCCTCTCAACCCTCAGCCTTAGCAACCAAATCCCAGACAGAACGAGGCTCTCTGGCAATGATGCCCCAAGAGCTGCTGTGGGGCGCGCGGTGCCGGGAGCAGTGCGAGCAGCCTGACGCCTGCGCGGGGCTGAGAGCTGGAGCTGCACAGGAGGTGGTGTCTGAGTGAAGCTGGGGTTATTTCTCCTAGTAAAGCTTCTCAGGTGCTGTTGGGACGATGCCTCCTTTGCGTTAACAGATCCAAATCCTGAGCTCAGCTGAGCAGGGGGCCCTCCTGCCCACTGGTAAGGCAGGACACGGGCTCTGCTCCCAGCAGGCAGCTTCTGGGGAATGTATTCATTGTGGGTCATCTAAGAAAGGGCAAAGACCTCAAAAGCTTCCCCAATATTATCATCCTTACTGTGGTTTCCTTAAGAACTTGTCATCTAGTTGTTTTATTGTGTTTGGTTTTGCACAGTGTTACATTTCTATTCTAAATCTTGGGGCAGGAAATGCTTCCTTTAGCGGAGCTTCCGAAGCAGCATCCTGAGGCTCCCCCAAGGCCTCCTGTGTGTGAAGGCTGTTCTGGAGAGATTACTGCCTCCAATTCCACATGGGAGCTCCTCCAGAGCCAGCTGCTTCTCCCAGCCCTGGCATAGCCACAGGGGCAGGAGGAGGCTGGACAAGATCTCTCTTCACCTTACCTTTACCTTTACCTTTCAAACGAAGGTGTCCCCTCTCCTCCCTTCTTTGCAACCACAAAGGAAAACCTCCTGCCTCAGTGAGAACACCTAACTTGCCTGGGCTTTTATACTTCTTTCCAAACTGAGTGCACAGAGACTTTGACAACAATCACTCATGAGAGAACACTGACTTTCTACAACACCACTATTTATCTGAGTGTTTGTATTCTTTTTCTAAATCTTATTTAAATATAATTCTCCAAATGAAAGACCAAATACATGTTGTTGGATTTTTTTAACTTGGGCAACTTTAATTTTGTAATCCTTGAGGGGTGCCTTGCTATTTGTTACCCCCTTGCACATCTACTGCTTATTCATTTACTCAGCAGAGTCATTCCTCAGAGAGAGATGGCTGAAAAAAACACCCAAGAATATCAGACTTCTGATCTGCAGATAATATATTCTCTTTTAAAAAGCTTTTGGAAATCTTAAAATCAACAAAACCCAACATGGATGTTGCAACTATTACACAGGGTTAATAAAAGTGATGTATTGAAACAAATTGCTTAGCATGATGATTCCACTAAAATCAATATCTTCAAATAATAAAGCAAATCTGAAGCAAACACACGACAACATCCAGGGGAACCATCTGGTGAATAGATTGCTGAACAGTTTTATTCCTTAAACTTTTACTTCAAGATTGTTGGTTCAAATCTAATCAAGGCCCTGCTCATTTAGTTCCTTCTGTCTGTTCAACGCTTTGCAGGATATTACTGGGTCTTTAATCTAGTTTTAAGGGGCAGGCTACAATGTAAATCAAGTCACTTAAGCATTTTTCCATGAAACTGTTCCCCAGATGCAGGTTTTCCGGAGCAATACCAGAGGCTGAATGAAGGAGTTAGAAGGAAGTGCCTTGAAAAAACAAGGCAAGAATCTGCAAAACCAGAGGCCTACAGAAAGCTGGAGCTTTTCTCAGTGGCAAGAAGGAGGGGCT